AGACACCTGGCTGCGAGAGGGGAGATGCACTTCGTCGATCGCAGAAGCAGCTTGCAGACTGAGCTGTATTACGTCTCCGACCCGGATTCTACAAAACCGGGCACTGAAGATGGCGAGATTGCCGATGAAGAACGAACGGAATGTTTCTGTGCGGGCTCGCGCAGATTGAACTTTAGGGGGCGAGCCGTATAAAGTAATCTGAACCAGTACAAGATTTAGCAACCATGATATTCTATCTGTGGGGCCACCGACATTACTGACGATGGGTCTGATTTTGAAGATAGACGGGTCATTCATGGTTGCGTNACTTGGGGTAATTTTATGCGTCTTGATGAGAACGTAGAGGACCGGACAAGCAGGAAGTTCACATTTCAGCCGCGTTACGATGTTCCTGGGCAGACCGGCTGAACGAGCCACATCAGTCCATATTTTGTTGAGATGGCGATATTGCTTCGTGAACTCTCCTGCCGTAGATGGCCTATAGACGGTAATATCTTCGAGGTGCAACCGTGTTATGGCTTTGTCCAGTTCTTGAGATAGGACCACGAACTCACCCCCCTTGTCGCTAACACTTATCTTTATAGCCCCGGTTGCTGTAAGCTCCTTTAGTTCCCTAAGCCCTTTGATTTGAGGTCGTCCAGTGCGGTGTACGCCCCTCGATTGCATTACATTTTCTCTCTTTCTCCAACTTCTACACACTTTTTTCCCGATCTTCGGTACTATCGGAATCAACGGTTTGGTATCCAACTCCGCCTACTTCATCGCGCGCCGACCCCGCCGATGGCACTTGCACTTTCCACTCCGCGGACCTCCATCCACTTTTTTGCTGATCTAGAAGATTTTTGAAGCTAAATTATGGGGACTTATGAGAAACGCCCTCCACGTAAGGATACGCCTCGTCCGTTGTGGGCGGGCCTCCGCTCACGTCATCTGTGCTGCAGACACCTTAAACGGATAGGATACCATGCCGAAGCGCCATTTGTAACGAGACATAACTGGAACTCTTTTTGAACGCTGATTTCGAAACTGCCCTCCGAATTTGTGAAACGACTCTCTGAACGCAGTTATGAAGCTAGAATAGTGCAGCGGCAGCGCCCCGACCTGATGGGAAAGAGGTCGCGAGATCGACTTCTCGGCGAGTTCCGACATTTGCTCTCCCTGAAAACATCGCCAAGGAGACCCTCATTCATGCCAATTCACCACACTCGCCTATCACATACATCACTGTATATCATATCGTACCACTATATATCATATATATCATATATATATATCATATCATATATATCGCATATCACAAGTATGAGGAGCTTCGACTGCGCGCCATTAGCAAATAACCGCCCCTGGTATGTACCCATGGCGCACGCTATACGGAATTTTGTGCAAAAAAAGTTTATATGCGTGTTGAGCGTGTCAAACTACCCTTTTTGACAGGGTTTGATCCGAATCTAAGATATTGACATGAAGTCGAAAACGCGGGTAGTCATATCTATGCCCTTAACCATAGTCAGTGTGGAGCCATGAGATGGAATTAAACTTTCAGTTTGAACAAGTGAACAGAAACATTTATGTCTGCAAGTGCAAGTACATCCGTTCCGTCTATGGTAGGAGAGCGCTAGGGATATTGGGTAGAGGTAAAACTAACGACTGATTCCCGACCAACTTTTCGAAAATGGTTCAGGATGTCAGTTTTTTGGAACTTAGCCTTCAGAGATAGTTGGATCCGCTGAGAGAGTATGTTACGTTTTCATCATCTGATGAGGCACCTTCCATGATGAAGAAACACCCCGACTTGTGAAATAATTTTCCACAAACATTATGACGAAAATAGTTGATGCATGAAAGAATCCCCTCTGTGCAACATTGTACACAGTGCAAATTTCAACACTGTGTAGGTTTTATGCACTGAAAGCAAGCATAGTTACAAGACGAAAACCTTGAAGCTTACCAAGAGTCGGACCGTGGTCCCACCAACGCAGTCTGGGAACACTACCTCTAGGCCACGCCGCTGATGACACGCTAGTGTCTGCCGATCTCTCTTAAGTGGGATCTCATTTTAAACAACTTTTGTAACTCTGTTCGGAGAATCGTTCCGCAAAGTTGAAAAACGGCTCTGGATCAGTGTCCAAGAACACGTCTTTGAGTATAGGTTTCATTGCAAATGGCCACTTCGACTTGGTATCCTTCCCTTGTTAGACATTGTTTTTCTATACCATCTTTTTCTGCGCTGTAGAGTTCCCCTAACCGAATTACAATTCGTACGCCCACTAAAGGCGAGTCTCCCTAATTCTCTGACTCAACAGTGCACACACTATTTTTCCGGTCTTCAACTATTTTGGAACCGAATTTGAAAATTTCGTTGTCAATACCGCTCAGATTGATGCACTCCACACCTTTCGTTTAGCTGATGTGTGTTTTGTACCCTTCGGCATATGATCCACCCATTACACCCTGACCAGGTCTCTCCAGGCGAATCTTCGTCATACGTACTGACCAACAGACGAAGCGCTTTATTTTAAGCCATTAGTCTGAATGGTACTTGATGATTTAATTCTGCAAGGTCAAACCCGGTATGAAATTTGGATTAGATGACTAGTTCACCGTTTTGGAGAAAATTTGATTTTGCGCGCCAAGGAAATGGCGAACCTTCACTTTTTCCTTCGAGCGTGCACTTTCTGTTGCGCTTCGCATGTCTACAACCCCCTATCTCCATTCTACAGTACCATTTCTCAAGAAAACACGAGAATGGATTGATGTTGATGCGTGAAGAGCATTGCAAGAGAAATCATACGTACCCTTACCTCAAATATTCTATGTTTCTGACTTTGTTTTGAGGAGGAGTGTTGCGCAATGGTATCACCAGAGCAGTTCGCGAATAGGCGGTGCGCATAGGTTACATGAAAATGATGAAAATTGTGGGATTAGAAAGGTGGAGAGGTCGTAGTGATGATGTGATTGAACTTGCTCAATATATTCCGGTCCACTCCTATTGAAACCAATGAAATGTACGAAGGTTGAACTTCGTCAGTAATGGCCATTCAATTCAGGATGGAATCATAGTAGAAAACATGCACGACATACCGTACGTGAAGCCTCCGATTGGACCAGAAATCGTATCCTCCATGACAATGGCTTGTCAAAGTAAGTAGTACGTGGAAACGTATGCGTTAATGGATGAATAAATTAGGAACAATTTTGAGCGGTTTCTGAGTCACTCGGTTCACAACGAGAAGAGATGCTTCTTGGTGTGCAGATTTTGGCTGGAGGAAACAAGGAAGCCCTCGCTGTGGCCCACTGTACAGGTGGGAAGTTAAAGTTTCTGAAACGTTGTGGGAAATTAAAATCCAGGTTTCCGAGAGAATCGGTGAGCCCGCGAAAACAAAAGGCAGTGATACGACATTTGCGGAAATAGAGGAGTAACGGAGGCAACAGAGGTAAATAAACAAATTACAAATTGAAATCGGAAAGTCCGAAGGAAATTATCATGCCGCCTTTTGATTCTGGACGCCGTTACGCCCTCCAGAGTCCTTCCGGCTACTTGGGTCAGGGTATATCGTTGAAAGATGCGACACAATAGGGCAGGATGAAGTATTCAGCTGTTAAGTATCAAGTGGTGTTTCAAATAAAACGTAAACAGTAACAATGGCGTAGATGTCAATGACCCCATTTGGAAAGGGAGCCCACTTCAAAGCGGGGCCAGTTGTAGGTTTGAACCTTAACAGGAACGTTTCAAAATGGTTTTTTCTGTGTTGTAGAAGTACAGGTATGAAGCACGAGAATGAGGTTCATTTTTTTCTGAGCGGCCCACTCATTGCCAAAAAGGTGCGAAATAAACTTGTTTCTGAGATGCCGTTTTGATGCCCACAGTGCCACACATTGTTCCCCTTCTATCCGAGCACTAGTTCGGTCAGTTTTTGCCTCCGTGATTTGGACAATTCGCGTTTCTCGTATCTCTGCCTCCAATTTGGTGCGAGCCAAGAACTCGGTCTCAAAATCTGGTTACCTGATCCGTGTTGTTTTACATTTTGCTTTGAATGTACTTATAGGATTCGATTTGATCCGCGCGGAGTGTTTTGTGTTCTCTCATGTAGCCGATGAGGGCTGGATGGACGGCTGTGCTGGTGAACTACTCCGATATAGGCGTGCAATCGGAGCCGACTCCATTGCTGTCGTGACTGATGTGAAGAAAAAGCACTCGTAAGTGATGGACATATGGATAAGCAAATTTTTAAGGAGATTTCCTAGTGCTGGATCATTTTCTCGAAAACCTCCAAATCTTGGCTTCGGTTTAGATCTCATGCTGTTACATCCGATCTTTCTATCGCTGATGTCGCCGAAGCGGCGCAGTTCTTCCTCGCAGATGGTGTTATCGTGACAGGACGCTGCACAGGACAAGCTGCCGATACCGCAGATCTTGAAGGTAAGATGTTAGCTTCCTGCCGATGCTAAAGGCTTCCGACGTAAGCAAACCAGCCCTTTTGGCGCTTTGGCTGGGACCGTATGCTGAATGTTGGGGAGGGGATGGAGTCCCCGATGGTGGTCGGACCACTTCAACTCAGTCCTTAGAACCGCCACAATTTGGTACTCACCTCAGAACTATGAGCCTTAAACAGAGGACGGGTCCCTCCCTCTCCATGGCTTAGTCCTGGGGTGAGCAAATCAGCCTTTCTGGCAGAGCTGCTGGGCCAGCTGCACCACATGCGTCAGTACTCTCCTATCGTACCAACCGAGTTGAAGTAAACCGTCGACCGTTGGGGACCCCATCCCCTCCCCAACTTCCGGCATACGGTCCCAGCCGATACGTCAAAAGGGCTGGTTTGCTTACCTCAAGGCTTCCTTCCGTAAAGGGATCCCATCTTCGACCCAAAGCAAATTTTTTGTAGGAATGGAACTATTATACCTTTGTTTGAGAATCGCTTGATAGAGCGTTTCTGATGTCAAAAAAAAACATAAAGATGCTCACCTTTATGCTGTTAGGACCGTTGAGCTTTGGCGGTCAATCCTTCTCATTGACGTTTTCTCTGTTCTCCACCTTGTCCTCCCTCAACGGAAGTTATCTAGAGGTATTTGTGGTTTCCGTTCAAATCGAGTACGAGTTGCCCTTCTGGTAACAATGAATTGGTACCGATTTTTCTCGCTCTGTAGACCCGAAAACGATTCAAATCTTCGAGAATTTGAAAATCGCCTCACAAGTTTTTGTATGGAGAAGTCATATAATTGTACTTTACATAAGCTCTCATCGGAATACTCCTCATTCATTGGTTTGTATACAAGCTTTCCCCAGAATCTTGGTTATTCTTAACAGAATCAATGCGCCGGTGCCCCAGTAATCAATAGAAGACCAGTTCCTTTTCGGGCAGTACCCATTCAACTTGAACAATATTTTCGATCTTATTTTTATCTGCTTTCAAATGCGATTTGGCCTACATCCTTGTAGCGGTCATCAATGTACAAGACAATCTTTTTATCCTCACAAGCAGCCGTGATAGTCGAACGACAGCAGAGCCATGAAAGACATGGTTAGCCTGCGGGGCCGTGCGTATTGTGGGAGGTGGGAAGTAATTTAGTGGTAATTTAGTCCACGAAAAGTCCATGTCAAGAAGTTTTCCTAAAATTACTTAAATTTCGTAAAATTCCCAGTTATCTGTTAACTCCTCCTGAAGATTCCCTGTTCACAAATAAGCCCTACTTTCGAACACTACTTGACGACTTCCCCCTATCGAAGGATCCTCGACCAAGGCCAATTCTGATCACCGGACACCATTTGCACCATCCGTCATCTTACCTCCAGCAGCCTCCAGCCTTTATTTATCAAGAGAAGTGAAAAGTGGAAAGGCTGGTGGGAACTCCAGAGTCAACCGTCACGTTATGCCAATTTCAATATTTTACTGTATCTGTCCCAAACTCCCCTAACAAACGTGATCCCTTCAACTCCGCGCCCAAATCTGAAAACCCCGAGTACGACTCCGTCATAATCACAAATATGAAACACGACCCTCGTACAGGGTCAACCGTCCGATGGGAAAAGTCCAACGAAGGGTATTCGGCCGACCGAAAGGGGGGGGGTCGTATTTGCAAGAATGAACGTCGCAACACGTGGGTGAGAGGCATAACCTTTGAGCGCTTCTCCAACTATTAAGCACAAACGAGTGGATGGCGCATCCCAGAGCAGAAGAGTTCACTGTAGTATTGTCAATATTTCACTGTTCACATACACAAATACGCTCCTGAAGAGGACCAATGGCTTCAAAATTAACCTATGTTAGTAAAAGGATGACCACATGGATAGATTGACTGCTAAACGCTTACAAGAAAGGTTTGGGAAAAATGTTTGCCTGTCGCCGACTTTGTTTCTGTTATGGAGCACAAAGCATGTGCGAGGTCTTGGTGTCATTATTCCTCATGAAATTTAGCTTGAAGAGAGCTTTGAGTGTTTGAGTAGCAAACACTCATATCTTCAGGAGAGTAGCTCTGGAAATTCATTAAAAAAAACGGTCCAACGAGACGAGAGTTGAATCTGAAGAAAGTTATAACAGTTCAAACCCAAAAAACCAGCGGCCTGCCAAAAATCGGTCCACGATTCCCCAAAACGGCCCAACGGGACGATTTTTTGACACCATCAGGTTTGAAGAAAGTCCAAGTATTCGTCAGAAGGCTTCTAGTTTACCACAGGGGGACAATAATTGCCAAAGGTTTTTTCTGAAAATGTTATACATTGAAAGCCAAAAAACCCAGTCGTGCATAAAAAAGGGTTCAACGGGCGATTTTCTGAAGAAATAGAACTTTACAAAAGTTTGAGTACTTTTTAGGAAGAAAACAATCTCTACTTTCAAAATCTTGTTACCACTTCTCACCCTTTCTTGTTTGAAAAGAATTACAACCTTTCAAATGAAGAAGTGCGCAATATTGTGACTCCCCATAACTCAGAGAGCTCTGGAGGTACTACATAATCGTGGTGGTTTCTGAAAATAGCAGTCTCTTAGTACAAAACCAGTCGGCGTTTTAGGAAATATTGAAGCTGAACAGAATTTACAATACCGCACTAATAACTTTTGAATGGCTCCGCTAGCGACGGATTTTGCATTCGTCGACAGAGGCTCGCCCTTCATGAACTCCCCCCAAGCGGTCAAATGATTGGGGGCTGCTACACCATGGGACTCGTCGTCTCTGAGGCGGAGTCTAACCATGATGGAAAAGCTACGGTACTCGCCGTAAAATGCGGAAAAAACACGCGAAAAATCGAATCAGTTTTCTTTTTCGTTTGTTCGTGTATAATGCAGGTCAAAATTGGAGATTTCGGAGTCTGAAAAAAGCAATGAAACTCAGCTCGTCGAGGTTGCTATAAGAATATGCGTTAAAAACTCTGAAGCCTTACTTCAGATCGGGGGTGGCGTAACTCACAGCGGTAGCACGTCAACCCAGAAGACTCGAACTTGATCAAAAAAAAACACTGTTGAATGTGGTCGCCTGTAATCCCGCTTATTGCATCATGCATCGTTCTTTCAGAGAGATGGTCTCAGCGTTGCCCCAGAATGCGCGCTGTTCAACATGCTACGATGTGTATTGTGAATGGATCGATTGCTTTTTTCTAGATTTCTATCGAGTCCCTTATTCCACAGCGGCGCGTTAAATGACTTAAACACGTAGTCCATGCGCTCAACATGTTCTCTTCGTGTTCAAATGGAAAATTAGATCAATTTTCGGCTGGCAGTTTATCGTATCATGTGTGAAATTTTCCAATGTTTGAGCGAAGGTTTTCCGACAGAGTCTGAGAGGGTAGAGGCGGAAATCGTCCTTACGGTTGTATGAGCAGCTTACTTTGAGTGTAGAAATAAGATGCATACTTGCTTGTAGTACGAGCGTTCGCCGCTGCTGTGGGCGTGTGGAAAATGGCCTTCTTCGTATTGCCCGTTGTTGGAGAAGATCGAGTTTTTTTGCATTTCCAGATAAACTCGCAACCTGAGATGTGCCCCATTTGGATTCCTCGTTGAAAAAAGCGTTCTCGATGTTAGCATTCATTCCTCAGTTGAAACTCTTGGGTTTTTTCACCGTTCTTCAGATTTCCCTATGGCGATTGGGCATCATTATTCCAACTGTTACTGCCCAAAATCTCAAAGTTTTTTTTTCGCGGAAACTTTGCCTACTGGGTAATTCGATGCCCTAGATTACGAATATACATTCATTCTGTAAGTGTGCCCCAAACATCAACACTCGCCCCTTTTTTGCGACATTATCCATGTTGAGCGCAAGATGTAGTATAAAGCTGTGAAGGCAGGACGTAATTTCTCTACTGTCGTAGACTAGCGGTTTCCCCCCCAACTTTCTGTAGGAATCACAGTGTGAAAACTTGGTGCAGGTTGAGTCCTTCCTTCGTAGTGGTGACTCCAAACATCACACTCGTCATGCCTAGCGATGTGATTAGTTTTTTTTGGTTTCTCAGTATGAACATAGGAGACTGAGTGTGCACCATTTTAATTCCCCATAAAAAATTACTGGTCGAAACGGTTTTTAACCACCTTTTGGAGAACATTTAGTATATCCACTGAGATCATTTGTGCAATTTCCCAATTTTCGAAGGAGATGTTTTTGAGGGAAATCACGAGAAGGGAGGGGCGAACTCTTTCCTACGTAGAGTAAGTTTACCTTTTATGTTGGAAAAGAGGATTATACTTAGGCTTGAGCGGGCGATCCTTCCCTGGTTTGGCCTTCAAAATTCGCTCTCCGTCAGTCCCTAAAACGGAAAACAGATTTTTTGGTTTTCCAGATGGCTCTACGAGCTGTCGTGTAGCACGTTCGGATTCTAACCATGCAAAATTGCTATCGAACGATATATCCATCCTCAGTTCCACTTAAAATTTCGTTTTGCATGCGCCTTTCCTGTATCGCGATCGCCTTCCTCAGCCCTGGCACCACGTGCCATGTTGCCGCGGTGACGTGATGAGCTCGCACAGGGATGGCCTTTGTCGGTACGCATGGCGGACAGGCCTGATCGATACACGCTATTGCGTGTCGAAATGCGTGGGTAAAGTCATCACGCACCGCGCACGTGAAATAGCAGTGGTGCGGCAGGGCTTGAACCTGGAAGGTCTTTCAGGGCCTTGGACAAGAGTTTTTGAAAAGCGGTCTTTTGCCTGATAATAGGCGGCCAGTGCGGACCACAGAACATGTTCATTTTTCTGGGCCGTATGCAACAATCCCCGAAGGTCTTCGCGGATATATCCCGAAGTCGTATGCAACAAAGCCCGACGATCGTCGGGGACATATCCCGAAGGTAGTATGCACAAGTCCCGACGATCGTCGGGGAATATCCCGAAGTCGGTTATGCACAAGCCCGACGATTCGCGGGGGAATATCCGAAACGTCATGCAAGCAAGCGCGATCGTCCGGGGACAATATCCCGAAGTCGTTGCAACAGGCCCCGACGCCATCGTCGGGGAATATCCGAAGTC